AGCGCGTTGTACTCGATGGAGCAGTTGCAGACGACGACTGACTCGACGGCCATCAGCCCGAGCACGATCGTGTTCATGCTGTTTAAAGGGGGGGGGGGGGGGGCTTGGGCGGGGAGGGAGGGGGGGACAGGGAAAGGACAGGAGGGAAAATGTGGAGGGAGGGGAGTCACAGAAGCGAGGCGGGGGCCGGGTCGCAACGGGGCGGAGCGCTGGAGCACACATGGTGAACCACTGCAGCCTGCTGAGGTCCCCCATCTCGGGCAGGTTCTCGACGAGCAGGATCTGGAACACGTTGATCGCGAGCACCATCGTGAAGGCGAGGCCGAGCCGGGCGTCGATGGCGCACGGGTCCACCGCAAACGTGCACCTGCGAGGGGAGGGCACGGGGAGGGCGTCGGGAGGAGAGGGCGCGGAGTCGCCGCCAGCGGCGGCCGCGTGGGCTCCGCGCGCACATGCCGAGCAGGACGAGGACAAACTGCATGATCATGAAGTTCCACATGTGGTAGTTCATCCGCCGGTCGATGGTGATGGAGAGGCGGAGGGCGCATGTGGATCTCGTCGGGTCGCTGTCTTGCTGATCAAAGTCGAACCCCTGCGCCTCGAGGAGGGTGCGGTACTGGAAGGAGGGGTTGTTCGCAGTCGCCCAGTCGGAGGTAGCCATCGCCGCCACGCTCCCGAGCGTTGTCGGCATTACGACCACCTCCGCCGTGAAGTCGACAATGTCCCAGATCGGATTGCCCACCCCAACCGACTTGCGGACCTGGAGGTCGTCGCCCCTCCACACCTTCGACCGATCCGGGGGGTGTCGATCGCATGTAGTCCTCGCGGCTGTCTTGTGGTGTGTGCGTGCTAGCCCCGCGGCGTGGAGTGTGCTGCAGTCCCTCGCCCGAGTGTGCTGCGCGTGCGTGCCCGATGCACAACATCTTTCACACACCGCGCCTTGACTGGGTCGCCCGTCCGCCCCCAGCTCGACCCGAGCTGCGAGGCGGGCAAGTCGACGAGGACCGTGTCGCGAGGGCCGCCGACCTGGAAGCACGCCTCGGAGGCGAGCACGTCCGGCATCGCCTGTTGCATTGGCCGTCAGTAAGTGGCCATTACCTGATGACTGATTGAGGCGAGCTCCGCCGTGGCACCATCACAAAGTCGAGCGTGTGCGAGTCATACGGAAGCTCACGCTCATCGATGACGGCCATGAACTTGGCCCGCTGGCGGTATGAGAGGAGAGCCAAGGAGCGCGGCGGCGCCACGCGTTCTGTGTACTCGGAGTCCCAGTCCGTACCGACGACGGTCGTGAGACCGCTGTCCTCCACGAGCGTTACCTAAAGGGGGCGAGGAGTGGCCAGCGCGAGAGAGGGGGGCGGGGGGCGGGGGGGGGCGGGAGTCAATCGTGAGACGGTTCAACCTTGGTGCGATTCGAGGTAGGGGGTAGAGGGGAGAGCGGCGTGCAGCCTCACACCTCTCCATCCAGCGCGTTCGGAAGCTGCAGCTCCGGCCGCCAGTAGATGTCGCACGTGTCCACCTTGCGGCCCGGGTCTTTGGCCTCCGTCGACTTGACGGTCCCGTTGCACTCGCTGAAGATGCGCTGGTCCTCCCAGGAGAGCGTGACGAGGTACTCAACCTCAAAGTACTCTGGAGAGCGCACGTCAATCAGGCGCTGCAGCACGATCTGCGGCGTTATAATCGTTGGACCGAGAATATCGTCCAAACCGGGCCACGCGTATTCGCCCGGCTCGCCGTATTTATCGACCGTGCCTTGCGCTCCCTCGTACGCCCCGTACGCCTCACCCTTGGTAAAGCCGAGGTCCTCATAGTCCTTTGGGAGCATGGACACCCACTGCCAGCCCGCTATGTCCGCCGCGTAGAAGCCCTGCCAAGCGTCAATGGGCAACTTGTAGCTGGTGCCAATGAGAAAGATGCCGGCGGCAGTGTCCAGCGCGTCGAGATCGAAGAAGGGTGTCGAGGGCGAACACAATATCCGCCGCATTCCCTGCGACGAGATGAACGCGCCCGTCGATTGGCACTGCTGCGCGAGAGCTGACAGCCACTCGAACATCAAAAGCGAGCCGCTGCAGTTCTCGATGCTGCCGGAGCTGATGCTGGCCACGAAGTCGTCGAGAACCGCGGGCTCGCACTCGGGTGCACCGTTGATGGCAGAGGAGGGGTCGTCACACTCGGCGAAGGTGGCGTTTAGGCATGCGCCCGGGAGGACGGCGGCAGAGATGCTACCAGCTAGCGCGGCATCGGCGCCGGCGGCCGCGGCCCCGTTCCAGCCGCTGCCGTTGAAATTTTCGCCGCCGACGCAGTCGCAGGCTCCTGCCGACAGGCCGCTTGCGAGCGGGAGGAGCAGCAGGTAAACGACGAGCACGAGCATCCTTGATCTCCACAAAAGTCGGCGCGCGAAAAAAGAATTGGGAAGCGCGAACGACGAGAAGGGGGCGACCGCGAGGTGGCACAATCGGAGAGAGACTGCGAAGAGAGATAGGAAGAGGCGGACGCCCAAGGGTGGGCGACGGCTAGCACCACACTCCTCTCCTTAAAATCCCTGTGTGGTGGCGGCGTGCCGTCCTCCCATTCCTCCCTTGGGTTGTCTGTTTTCTTTCTTTCTTTGCAACTCCCTCTCGCAGAGCAAGGGATGGGGGGGATCGGCAGGCGGCGGCGGCGTCGCAGGACGAGGCAGAGGAGAGCGACGCGACAGAGGAGGAAGCGACAGTGGAGGGAGAACGATTGGAGTGGGACGACCGCGAGGTGGCATGAAGGTTGCAGCGAGAATCGGCGAGGGACTGCGAAGGGAGATAGAAAGAGGCAGACGCCCAAGGGTTAGGGTGGGCGACGGCTAGCACCACACTCCTCTCCTTAAAATCCCTGTGGTGGCGGCGTGCCGTCCTCCCACCCCTCCCTTGGGTTGTCTGTTTTTCTTTCTTTCTTTTTTCCCTCTCGCGACACTAGGCACGGGACTGGCAGAAAGCGCGGGCGAACTTCCGGCGGGCGTGGATGAGCTAGCAGGACGCAGGCGCCAGCGACGAGCAGAGCCGAGGCCGCGGTGGTGAGCCTGTCCGCCGGCCAAGGCGCGTCACTGCATTCAATTGCATTTATATGCACATTCCCGCATACGTTGCATTGTAATGCATAGTAATTGCATTTTAAGTGCATAGTGATGCATGTTGCTGAGTAGGCAAGGCCAAGGACAATGGGAGGTCCTTGAGCAGTTCACCCCTTCGGCCATCTGGCTCCGGTTCCTGCCTCCTCTAATGTAGAATCCGGGTGTGTTCGATTGTAAAAAATCGGCCATTTGGTCCCCAGGGGCCGCCCCTGGCCGCCCGCGCACACAAAAAAATACTCCGCCGCCCCGAACGCCCCCGGAAAACAGCATACCAGCCCCACAAGCGTCACGAGTTTACACAAGTACTCAAAATAAATTCCCGAAGTGCCGGGCCGCGCCGGCAGCAGGCCGCCGTACGCGTGCGGAAAACGAGCCGCCGCCGCCGATCGCTCTCGAAGAGCGTGGCGCAGCTGCCCATTCCCGGTGACCATAGCACGAGGTGAGTCGCCAGGGCCTCGCCTGAAGGGGGGCGGGGCAGGGGCGAGGAGATGAGGACGAAACCAAGCGTCTGGGGCCATGCCGGAAGGTGGTGTGCGAGGCGTGGACGCACCTAAAATACGAGCAAGTAGCGGCGAAGGCGAGGGGGAGGCGACGGCGAGGCGGATGGAGGCGGCGGCGGCGGCGAGGCGGAGGATGGCGGCGGCGAGGGCGAGGTCGACGGCGGCGGCGGAGACGGCGAGGACGACGGCGGCAGCGGTGAGGGCGAGGCCGACGGCGGCGGCGGCGGGGGTGAGACGGAGGGCGCGGCAGCAACAACGGGCAGTTCAGAATTCTATGTGGCGCATTTAATAAAATCGAACACACCCGGATTTTGCATGCATCAAGATGATACACCATTTTGTTGGCTAGGCGGGCGCAAGAGGTCTGTTAGCGCCCCCCCCCGGCGCCCCCCGCGACCGGCACCCACCGCGAGAGCTGGAGAACACAACCCCACCAAAGCACAGCCCTGATCAGAATGGGCAAGGGCTACCACTTGGTGACCCAGGTAGCCTCTGGCTCGCCACTTCACTCGGATCCTCTGCAGCGGTCTCGCGCTCTCGCCACGACAGCACGCCGACGGCAAGCTTTGAGGTCCATCTGGTCGACCTGCTGTGGCCACAGCCGCCCCTCACATGCAGCTCGCACCATGGCTCGACACCGGGCCCGCTCAGGTTGGTCGTGGCGAAGTGTGTGAAGGATGCGCGGCCGAGCCGCTGGCTGGCGCCGCTTGAACGTATGAGATGGCCGTGCTCGGTGGTGACGGCGGCGCGGAGCAGCAACCTGCGCGCGGCAGGGCGCCGATACTCGAGTAGGTATGAGAGGCGGCCGAGGACGCGTTTTGGGCCAGTGGGAATGGAAAGGGGCCGCGCAGGAACAGGCCGGAGGCACCAGATCGCGTTGGGGCACAGAGCGCACTGTTGCTTTTGCTGCGCCTCTTGTGAAAGAGGCGCTCGGACACACGTGAACGAAAACGGAGGCGCCTGCCTTATACCCCTGGGGAATTCACGTATGCTGAGTGTGTTCGCTGTTGCGGCTCCGGCCTTCGCGCCTCTGCCCTCCGAGGGTCTCGTCTACTACAACACGACGCAGAGCCTGCCGCTCCTCATGGATGCGCTTCAGGGCACCACCGCCAAGGCCTTTCTCGCCATGACTTCGTATGTTCCGACGCAGGCGACGCAGACCTTTTGCTCGATCGCCACTTCGGTCTCCATCCTGAACGCGCTGACGATGCAGGAAGTCGACAAACGCCCCGTCACGGAGACGTACGCTCCGTATCCCTACTTCACGCAGCAGGACTTCGTGAACAGCCCGTGCGTTACCAACGTGACTTCGGATGTCGACCACTGTGGCACCACACTCTCCCAGCTCAACGCGATCCTCAAGTGCATCGATCCTAGCCGCACGATCTCCAAGTACCACGCGTCGACAGCCTCGCTCGATGAGTTCCGTCGCAAGGCGGTCGACGCCCTCTCCGGGCTCGGCGGTGTGGCGATCAACTTTGACCGCAAGTCCCTTGGCCAGCCCGGCGGCGGGCACTGGAGCCCGCTCGGCGCTTACGCTGCCGCGAGCGACGCCTTCCTCCTTCTCGACGTCGCAAAGTACAAGCTGCCATACGCTTGGGTGAAGGCCCTCCCCGCAAAGAGGCGCCCTCACCGCAGCCAAGCACGCCACCCTCGCCGCCTCACAGGTGGCTGCGACGGACCTCTTCGCAGCGATGAACACGATGGACAACAGCGCGAACATGTCGCGCGGCTTCATCATCATTGCGTGATTGTGACGGGGGTGCTACCCCACGGATCCGACTCGCGGATGCGGTTCTCCCCTCTCCATGGGTCGACCCCTTACGACCCGAGCTCTGACTGGTTCCGCGAACGGTGCTCGGTGTCTGTTGTTTTGTGTCTGTGTATGAATAAGTGCCAGTGCGCGCCAGTCCCGTGCCCAGTGTGCTGTGAGAGGGAGCTGATTATGAAGTTCTTTTCATCCTGGAGCATTTGGAGTGCAAACCAACGAATCAACCTCACTTGGAGACGTTTACCTTACCTTACCTTACCTTACTACTTCTCTAGGCGAGCAACAACAGCGCGCGGACACGAGGACGTGCGCTGGGTGCGGTGAGCTACTCCAGAAGCGGAATACGTGTATTCATGTGTATCCCAGCCAGCACTCGAGAGACACGTGTTCCGCTGTACTCCGCTGTACTCCGCTGTATTCACTGTACTCCTATCCGTTGTATTCACGCGGTGCTCTGAGTACGCTGCACAATGCCGCGTCGTCCCGCCCTGCCTCTGATGTCGGCGTATTCAGCACGTCTGTCCCGCAGAACCTGAACCCACACACTGGATTCGGTACCCTGGAGGTATGGTACTAGGCGAGCTACTCTTCGGCGCGGCCAAGGCGAGGCCGTCGAGGCGCACTATCCAAACTATTAGCCTAAAAATCGACGCCCACCTAATAATTAGCTTGTTATTAGCCTCCCGCTGATTCGTGTTATTAGCTCGGGCCTAGCTAATAATCGTAGCTAATAAAATATAAGCCTCCACCGCGGGCGGGATCGACGGGCAAGTAGCAGCAGGCACCAGTCTTTGCCTCCAAGATCTGACCCCTCTCCACCCACCCCCACGCGACCTCTAGGCGGCGGGCAAGATGTGGCACAGCGACTGTTTGGTGTGCGCCGCTTGCGGCACGCCCATGGACGGCGGCGTACTACCCAAAAGCAAGGAACCTCCACTCCTGTCCAGACAGGCAAGGTAGCCCATCGACGGCGATTTTGCGATGCTCCACGGCACGCTGCACACACTCACCGCGCTGGCCACCTAAGTGGACGACCGTCCATTCGTTCAAACCTACGCTGTGACTTCGTTGAAGCACAGGCAAGCCGCTGCACTCCGCATGCCACCTCAAGCTAGGACGGCCGTTCGCTCGTTCAAACCGACGCTGACTTCGTTGAAGCACAGGCAAGCCGCTGCACACCGCCTGCCACCTCAAGCTAGGACGACCGTTCGCTCGTTCAAACCGACGCTGACTTCGTTGAAGCACAGGCAAGCCGCTGCACCGCACCGCCTGCCACCTCAAGGACTACGGCGTCCACTGCGCCGGGTGCGGCCTTGGCCGCTTTGTGTATCTCTGGAAGGCGGCGAACGTACTGCAGAACAAGCTGACGGGCCCAGTACCTCGATAACAGAGGTGACTTGGACCACTCGCGCACTTGAAGTATGGTGTATGAAGACTTGTGCGCACATCCACATACTAAATGATAGTATCATACCTCAGAGATCAGACGTCTTAAAAAAACACTTTCAGGTTTCAGCACTCTTTCGAGGGCGGCGACCTCAACCGACTATGGCGGACCCGTCGCCAGACGACGCAGGGCACAGACGACGGGGAGAGTTGGAGCAGACGCGCAGGGCGAGACGAGGGAAGGTGAGCAGGACTCTTTGCGGAGATCAGCAGGAGGATGTTACGAAGAGATTAGGAGCAGCAGGGAGCCAGGGACCCGAGGCGCGAGGGACCATGTGGAAGACGGAGCTAGACACCTAGTGCTAGTCGCGCCTAGTGTCCCCAATCGTGAGACTGAGAGGACGACCCCCCGCGGCTATTCGCCGTACGCCGACCACACCCACAACAAGAACCCTGCACAAAGACCGCACGGGTGGGGACCTGTTCCTTTTTGCCCATCTCACAGTAGAGGTGTCCGTTTTATTTATTTATTACAAATCGTTGACCTTTGTGTAACACAAACACCAAATCCCATTCCAGGCGTCCGTCGGTTCGTCACTGGCGCCGAGAGGGCTCCGTCAGCTCGGCCCCTCGTCCACCTCGCCAGGGCGGTCGCTGCAAGCGCCGCCGTCGCCTGACCGTAGCCTTTTTGGCCCTCCCGGCGCTGCTGCTGCGGCGGCGGCGGTCGGCGCAGCATCGTCACGGCTCAGCCGCTTGCCTCCGCTGGCCACGCGCTCCGGCACGGGGGCTTGTCCAGCGGGCTCGGGCCGCGTGAGCGCGTTCATAAAGGAGGACGCCGTAGCGGCGGTCAGCCCAACGTCGGGTGAGCCGGAGAGGAGAGGCGCGGCGCGTGCGATTCGCTCGAGGCGGAGCTCCGAGCGTTCGGCGGCGGAGAGGCGCTCGAGCACGAAGTCTGCGACGTCCTCGCGCCTCGGCGGCCTCCCGATCCCCAGCCTGAGCCTCCAGAAGCCGTCGCCGCCCAGAGCGGCGGCGCACGACTTGACCCCGTTGTGACCTATCAGCAAGGTCAGCAGTGAGGTCGGGGCTCGCGGTCCCGAGGAGGTGGTGCATGCGTGCGCCTCCGGCGGAGCCGCCCAACTTGAGCTTCACTTTGCCGGGAGCGAGATCAAGATCGTCGTGCAGCACGAGCACCGACGCAGCGGGCAGGCGCAGATCGCGTGCCAATGCGCTGACTGCGCCGCCGCAGACATTCATGTACGAGCGGGGCACCACCGCCGCCACCCGCACCGAACCGAGCGTGCCGACGGCGACGTCAGCTGTGGCGTGCTTTTCGAACGGCGCAATGCCGGCCGCCACGCAGATTTCTTCCAGCGCAAGTCGGCCGACGTTGTGCCGCGTGCTCTCGTACTGCCGGCCGGGATTACCCAGGCCGACGAGGAGTAGGCGTGGCGGGTCGTCGCTGCAGCCTGCTGCCCGGAAGAGCGGCGAAGGCGGCATGATCCGGAAGAGCGAGCGCGAGAACACGTCGATCAGGCGCCGGAGGAGCTCGCGGAACATCGCCAGTTCGCGTTCATGAGAGGTTGAGGTAGAAAGAATTGACACGTCCTGGGCTTGGGGTCAGCTGTCGGAGGAGGTGAGAGACGAGCTGACGCGGCCTCTGCGGGTAGAATCGGGACGTACGGACGAGCCGAGGACGATAGAGAGACCGCGGGGGCGGGCACGAGTCCTCGACCGAAGAGAGCCGGCCTCACTTCACGGGGAGGGGCGGCGTGGCGATCCAGTGCCGCCGCCCTCGCCCGAGGAGTTGGGCGTGGGACCACCGGAGGTGGAGTCAACAGGAGCAGGCAGAGTGGGCGAGACGGCGGCGGGGCCGCGGCCGAAAAAAGCTAGGAGGGGGGGTCGGGCCCCGCATCCGTTGCCCAACCAGCGGAAAGCGAGTGGGGGGAGGACCGAGGGGATAAGAGGGCCCCTCCAGACCGAGGGGGGGGAGACCAGACCGGGAAGCCTCGAGGGGTGACGTCGAGTGAGGATGTACGTCGTGTGCGTGTCTGGTGTTTATTAGCTCCGAGTAGAGGGGGCGCTCCGCTGCTAGGGGAAACCTGGAGCGCGGACTAACCCTCGGAGACCCGTGTTTACTTTACGGCCCTTTCCCTGCGAACGCGCACCCCCTGGGCTAGGGCTCTCTTGCCCGCAACCCGATGCCAATCATCCGGCCCGCTGGGTGCGCTTCTCAGCTCCCCGGCCCTGGGTGTGCGGTTGCCGACTGCACTCCAAGTGCTCCAAGTCCTGACCTCCCCGGCCCTGGATGTGCGGTTACTGATTGCACTCCAAGTGCTCCAAGTGCACCAACTCTCTCTCACAGCAGACGCCAGGCTCGTAGAAAAGAATTTTGCGTAGAAAAGAAAGAGAACACGCGACGGAAGATTCGCCCTGATAGGTGCGGGACGAGGCCCCCGCGCCGGGGAGCCGCTGCGCAGCCGGGCAGTGTACACGTTAGGTGATCTGTGATCTGTGAGGGAGGGTCCGCCCGCAGGAACGGAGGGGGAATGCACAACGAAGCAGCTGGCACGTCGCCTGCCGACGCGCCGCTGCTTGGGCAGCGAGTCGTGCTCGGCGGGCTCTCTTCCCGCCCCGAGCTGAACGGGCAGCGGGGCGAGGCGCGGAGCTTCAAGGGCGGGCGGTACGCGGTGGCGCTCGAGGGCCGGCGTGAGCGGCGTCACGCTGCTGATGGGCGCCGCCGGCTACGGCCACGAGCGGGTGGTCGAGCTGCTGCTGCAGCGTGGGGCGGAGATCAACGTGCAGGACAGCAGTGGCGTCACCGCGCTGATGATCTCCGCCCAGCTTGGTCACGAGCGGGTGGTCGACTTGCTGCTGCGGCGCGGCGCGGAGGTCAACCTGCAGAGCAGCGTCGGCGACACCGCGCTGATGGCCGCCGCCCAGGAAGGCCGCGAGCGGGTGGTCGACTTGCTGATACGGCGTGGGGCGGAGGTCGACCAGCAGAACAGCGGCGGTTGGACCGCGCTGATGGGCGCCGCCCTCTTCAACCGCCCCGCCGTCGTGCGGCGCTTGCTTCGTGCGGGCATTGACGCGGCGCCTACTGTCAACGGCAAGACGGCGCTGCAGCTGGCCAAGGAGAAGGGCCACGCCGAGTGCGTCAAGGTCTTAGCTGAGGCGGCGGCGGCTGCAGACGGCGGGGCAGGGGCGGGCGGCGCTTCCTCGGGCGCGGCAGCGGTAGCTATGGACGCGCCGCTGCTCGGCCAGCGAGTCGTGCTCGGCGGGCTCTCGGCCCGTCCCGAGCTTAACGGGCGGCTGGGCGTGGCGCAGAGCATTGAGGACGGGCGGTACGTGGTGGCGCTCGAGGGAGGCGGCGAGAGCGTGCGGGTGCGGCCGGGTAATCTGTCGCCGGCGGCGGCGGAGCGGGCGTCGAGCGGTGCCGCGGCAGCCCCCGATGCGGTCATCGCAGCGGCTCACCAAGGCGAGGAGGAGGTGGTGCTGGCGTGGCTTGACAGTGGCGGGCGGGCCAACGCAACGTACGAGAGAGGCGGCGCGAGTGGCATGACGCTGCTGATGGGCGCCGCCGTGTACGGCCACGAGCGGTTGGTCGAGCTGCTGATACGGCGCGGGGCGAAGGTCAACCTGCAGAACAGCATCGGCTACACCGCGCTGATGGCCGCCGCCCAGTGGGGCTACGAGCGGGTGGTCGAATTGCTGCTTCGGCACGGCGCGGGGATCAACCTGCAGAACAGCGGCGGCCTCACCGCGCTGATGGCCGCCGCCGACAACGGCCACGAGCGGGTGGTCGAGCTGCTGCTGCAGCACGGCGCGAAGGTCAACCTGCAGAGCAGCCTCGGCTGGACTGCGCTGATGTACGCCGCCCTCTTGAACCGCCCCGCCGTCGTGGTGCGGCACTTGCTGCGGGCGGGCGCAGACACCGCGGCGCGCAGTGCGAGCGGCAAGACGGCGCTGCAGATGGCCAAGGAGAAGGGCAACGCCGAGTGCGTCGAGGCCTTCAAGAAGCACGTCCAGGAGGTGTTGGCGGGACGGCCCACGGCGACGGCAGCCGGCGGCGAAGGCGCAGGCGGCGCTTCCTCCGTCGGCGCTTCCTCGGCTGGATCGAGAGTCGCGGAGACGCTATCTCCAGCGGTGGCGGCGGGGCGGGCGTCGAGCGGCGGCGTGGCAGCCCCCGATGCGGTCGTGGCAGCGGCTGAACGTGGCGAGGAGGAGGCGGTGCTGGCGTGGCTTGAGGGCGGCGGGCGGGTCAACGCGACGTACGAGAGTGACGGCGTGAGCGGCATCACGCTGCTGATGGGCGCCGCCCGCAACGGCCACGAGCGGGTGGTCGAGCTGCTGCTGCGGCACGGCGCGGAGCTCAACCTCAAGGACAGCGACGGCGGCACCGCGCTGATGTACGCCGCCTACTTCGGCCACCCCGCCGTCGTGCTGCGCTTGCTGCGGGCGGGCGCAGACGCGGCGCCTACCTTTGACGGCAAGACGGCGCTAAAGTGGGCCAAGGAGCAAGGCTTCGCCGAGTGCGTGCGCGCCTTCGAGGAGCACTCGTCGACCGCAGCAGAGGCTGAGGGGGAGACGGCGGTCGCAGAATCAGCCGAACAGGCCGCGGCGGCCGCACGCGAGGCGGCAGCGGCAGCAGAGGCGGCGGAGGCGCGCGATGCTGCCGAGGCTGCGCTGCGCGAGGCGGTTGAGGCGTGCGAGCGAGGCGACGCCGATCTCGAGGCGCTCAGGGCGGCGATCAACGCGAACACCACCCAGGCCGCCGACGGCTCGGAGGCGTTGCGGGCGGCGCGGCGGCTGCGCGACGAGCTGGCGGAGCGAAAGGTCCGCGAGGCCAGGGCGATGAAGCGGCAGCGACAGAAGGAGGAGAAGGCTGCGGCGAGGCAGGCGGCGGCGGCGGAGCGTGCTGCGGAGGAGGAGGCGCGGGCGGCTGAGGCAGCTGCGGCGGTGCGGGCGGCGGAGGAGGCGGATGAGGCGGCGCGGGCAAGGGAGGAGGCGGAGGCGGCATCGCGCGCAAGGGAGGAGGCAGAGGCGAGGGCAAGGGGGGAGGAGGCAAGGGAGAGGGAGGAGGCGAGGGAGAGGGCGGCAGCGGAGGCAGTTGCGGCGGCGGAGGCAGCGGCGGAGGCGGCGGCGGAGGCGGCGGCTGTAGAGGCGGCAGTGGCAGCCGTGGCGGTGGCGGAGGCACAAGAGGCGGCAGCAGCGGAGGCGGCGGCGGCGGCAGCGGCGGCGGCGGCAGCGGCAGCGGCAGCTGCGGCAGCGTCGGCGGCGTCGAGTGTCGCCGCCCTCGCCGCTGCCGCCGCGCCGCCCGCCGCCGTCCCTCTCGACGAGCTCATCGCGGCGACCGACGGCTTTGCCGAGACGCGCAAGGTGGGCGAGGGCGGCTTTGGGCGCGTCTATCGTTGCGACGCGCTGCCGTCGCTCCCGCGCGTCGTTTGCGGGTTCGCCGTCAAGACGGCGCTGGTCGGTGTCGGCGCCCAAGGCCTCGCCGAGCTGCAGAGCGAGGTGCGCACGCTCAGCGCGGCGTGCCACCCGTCCCTGCTTCCTCTGCTCGGCGTCTGCCTGGCATCGGCGAGAGCTTGCCTCGTCTACCCCCTCTGCCGCGGCGGCAGCCTCGAGGACCGCCTCTACCGCGCTCCAGCCGCGCTGCAGCGGCTCCGCATGCTCGGCTTCGAGACGCCGCCTCCGCCGCTCTCCTCCGCCGCACGGCTCCGCGTGCTGCGCGACGCAGCGAGCGCGCTGCACTACTTGCACACGCTCTCTCCCATGATCCTGCACCGCGACGTCTCGGCGGGCAACATCCTGCTCGACGAGCGCGGCAACGGCTACCTCGCCGACGTGGGCCTCGCGCGCGCGGCAGGGGCGACGGCCGGCGGCAGCCAGCAGGTGTCGCACCTGTCGACGCAGCGCCTCTTCGGTAAGCTTGGGTACATGGACCCGATCATTCCGCAGAGCGGGCAGGCGTCAGCGCTGACCGACGGCTATGCGCTCGGCATCACGCTGCTCGTCGCCCTGACCGGCCGCGGCGCCGTCGGCCTCCTCGACGAGTGCGACGATGCGCTTGAGGAGCCCGACACCGCTGAGCGCATCGCGGCGGCCGACGCGGGCTGGTCGGCGGCGCAGGCTGAGGAGCTGGCGCGGCTGGTGGTCGGGTTGGCTCTCGTGAGGAAGAAGAGGCGGATGCCGCTCGCAGACGCACTGCCGCGGCTGGAGGCGCTAGTCGAGGCGGCGGGGGAGGTAGAGGAGACGGCTGGGGCCGAGGAGCGCCTGTGTGACCTCTGCTACGACGCGCCGCGCTCGGTCCGCTTCGCGTGCGGCCACGCGCTGTACTGCGAGACATGTGCGCCGCGCGTGCTGGAGCGCAACAGCAACTGCCCGGCCTGCCGCCAGCCGGCGCTGCCCATCGCCGCAACTGGGCGGCTGGTGGCGGAGCAGACGACGTTTGTCCACCAGCCGCCCTCGCGCACCGTGCCCCAGGCCCAGCCCGCGGGCGCCACGGCGGCGAACGGTGGGCGAGGCGGGCGAGGGGGGCGCGGCGGGCGCGGTGGGCGGGGCGGGCGGGGTGGGCGTGGACGGGGCGGGCGGGGCGGGCGGGGCGCGGGCGGCTAGTAGCTCACACATACATCGGACTCTAGAGGGTGATTGGCGACGAGAGAGTGATTGGCGACGCGAAAAATGTACATGAGCCCGGAGATCCTGTCTTTTCATTTTGTTCAGCGTTGCACCCGCAAAACCCCCCTCGCCCTGGGTCTGGATGCGCGGGCGGTGACCGCTGACCGGTGTGGAGCCCGCTTGTGTTTTTTATCTTACTTTGTTCCCGCATCAAACAACATGCGCCTGCCCGGGGGAGGTTCGGTTCACATCATACCTCAGACACAAAACATAATACACTCTCGGCGACGTCAATGACCCGGCGCCTTGTGGTGACACCGCTTGACCTCTAAGCAGACTAAGAGGGCGAGATCAGTGTGAGGACAAATCGCACACGAGGCAGATATTGCCGCCGTCTACTGCCGTCGACTCGGGTCTCAGCGGGAGGCTCGTGGCGCTGCCTCAGGCGTCAGTCGTCCTCGCTCGGCAGGTCGTCCCGCTTGAGGATCTCGAGCCTACTCACAGCTGCCACGCGTGAAGAGGCGCCGTTCACGGCAGGTCATCGCGCCAGAAGGAGTCTCGAGCCGGCTCAGCGTGGCGCACTCGCCGCCGCACAGCTCCATCACCTCGTGCCACAGCGGCTTGGGCAGGCCGAGGCACTGCTTCAGCGCAACCTGTATCAATTGGTTGATTAAGACGACTTTATCGATCCGGCAGCAAACGGAGGCACTGCTTAAGCGCAACCGGCCGCGCGCACGCGATGGCCCGCCACACGCCCTCGTCGGTGGTCAGGCCTGTGTGGCGGCCGAGGAACCAGCGGAACGCGAGCGGCGAGGCGCGGCCTATAAACTAGCATGCACTGATCGCTTAACAAGCCGAGAAGACCTCACGGGACGCGAGCGGTCAGGCGCGGCCGGCGGCGACGGCCTCGATGGCCGCACGCTCTCCGCCTGTGAAGATGCGCGTCCCGGGCGACACTCACCTCGACTGCACCCTCGAGCGACCCGTCGCCGTGGACCTGGATTGGTAAGGAGTGCGGCGCTTGACAACTAGTAACGGCGCCTCTAGCGACCCGTCGCTACGCACCAGCAGCCCGCCCTCCTCCTGCCCCGACGGCCCTCCCAAGTACGCGCACAAATCGTCGCCGAATGCGGCGAGCAGCGGGCCGGCTAGCGCCTATGGGGAGATATGGGGAGATATGGGGAGATATGGGGAGATATGGGGAGATATGGCGAGCAGCGGGCCGACTAGCGCCTCCGCCTCTCCCGTCTGCCGCAGCAGCAGCTCCGCCAGCTGCCGGTTCCCGCGCGCCGCCAAGGGGCGGTTCAGAGCGACTCCGTCCGCACCCGCGGCCGAGGAGCGAAGCACAAGCACGACCTGCTGCCACTCCTATTCATCCACGCATTCACCATTGTTCTCGCACTGATCGCAAACACCGGCACGACCTGCCGCCGCTCCTGCCCGGCCTCCTGGTATGCCTGCAGGAGCGCGCCCCGCCACCCGCAGAGGCGGCATCAACGGTCGCCTGAAATCATTGGCAATGAGCAATGACCGATCGCCGACTGGAGAAGAATCGTCGGCAGGACCGGCTGCCACTCCTGCAAGTTATTGAGTCGCGGTCCCCAGAATCAGTCATTTACACGCGCGCGCAGAAGGAGCGGCATTGGCGATCGCCTTGCCGCCCTTGGCCTTGGCCAGCAGAGCCTGGAGGGGAGCTCCTGAGGGTCAAAGGGAAGGCCCCGAGATCGTGCCGCCCTTGGCCTTGGGTCAGCAGCGCCGGAACTGCGCTCGGGAGGTGAGCTCCACATCCCGGGCAGAGATTGCACGAGATTGCACGAGATTGCACGAGCCTCTCTCCTCTACCGTAGCGACTCCTCCTCCCCTCTCTCCTCTACCATAGTACCATTGATAGCGACTCCTCCTCGCCTCTCTCCTCTCCCTCTCTAGCGCCTGAAGCGTCTCCGCGACGAACCCCTCGCACAGCCGGTAGCAGTACGCGGTGTTGGCCAAGAAGCGCGCCTGTCAGAGACCCACCCACAACTCATCCTCTCGACACCTCAGCATCAAACGAACTGCTGGCCTCGCCTGTCAGTGACCCATCAAACATGAAGCACCAACTCGCCGATCATCGCATACACGCAATGCTCGCCCTGCAGGCCCCGCGCCTCCTCGCCGCCATCACCGCCGCTGCCGCCCTTGGCTGCCGCGTCGCCGCTGTCGCCCTCCTCCGGGACAGGCAGCTCCGCCTGTTACGGCTTTGTTAGTTTGTTTTTTAACGTATTCGGCGCGCGCGCGCGCGCGGCTGTGCCGGCTCTGGGTCTGACATATCTTTTTTTGTATGCAAAGTCCACCGTCGGGTGTGCTGAAGTAGCACCAGAGTCACGGTCTTTGCGCGGCGGGGAGGTGCTCGCGCCTGTGCGCCTCGAGCACCTCGGCGACGAGCCGGCAAAGCCGCTTCCTCGACAGCCGATACCGGACGACGGCGGCGAACCTGGGGTCGTGGGCCGGCTCGCCCTCCATGCCGACGAGCGTCGCCTCGTCCTGCGCCTCGCTCGTCGCAAAGTCGCTCGACGTGTCCGCGAGCCAAGCGAGCATCGCACTCGCCGCGGCGTGCTCGCTCGGCTCGCCGGCGGAGGGGCCGCGGCGGAGCGGCAGCGAGAGCAGCGCCGCCTCGAGCAGCG